GGGGGGGGTTGGTGCTTAAGCTGGCATCCGCCCATGACCTGCTACGTTCTCACCTGAGGCTTCGGGATCGAGGGCGGACGTGCGGCGAGCGTCGCCCGCCGTCGTCGTCTGTGATGCTCTCTGTGCTGCCAAAGTGCTTGGACAGGAAGTGCAGCTCATCCATGGTTGGCTGGAAGGGCAGCTGGTGCAGACGCTCCTGGGACGAGCTAGATGACTGGAGAGAGACCAGAGACATGAGCAAGAAGGTTAAAAATGCTCTTTGTTTTATTTTATTTTATTTTTTTTTTTTTTGGTTTTAAAAAAGCCTTTTGTAAGAGCTGCAACATCGATAGTTTAAAAATAGACATCAGGCGATGAAGAAGGGGATATTTAAAAGAGAAGAGAAGAGAAGAGAAGAGAAGAGAAGAGAAGAGAAGAGAAGAGAAGAGAAGAGAAGAGAAGAGAAGAGAAGAGAAGAACAAAGTGTACAATGATGATAGTGGGTGGAAAAAACTGAAACAAAGAGGCGACCAAGTTAAAAGAACAAGAAAGGAAAACAGAGAGGTGGAGAAATAAGGAAAGTATCCACAAGGAGTTAGTGTAGGAGGAAAAAACAAAATAATGTGGACTGAAAAACAGAGCAAAAGAGACTGCAGGGAATGAAAGAGTCACTCAGAGTGAAAGTTGATTGCTGCATCTGATGCCTCGGGGGGGTTAATGGCAGCCCCATTTGGTCTTAAACAAAAGACCAGGCTGGATCAATAAGAGGCTTAATGAACACATCTCCCATCGGGATGCCATGGTTGGCTTTGGCCACGCAAGGATTTCTGCTATAAAAATCCATTAGAGCCTCTCTTAGACACTTGCAAGCTGCAGAAAAGCACTGAAACGATGACTTTGTGAATGCAGCAAGTCCAGTCAACACAATCAATTAAGAAGTTGCTTGGAGAGAGAAAAAGCTTGAAGATTGAAGAAAATATCATTGGATATAACGGCTGCTGCAGATGAAAAACGCTCTGTATCTGTCTCACTCCTTTCATGCAGTTGCAGAAAGCATTTCAGTTCATTTAATTGTTTTCAGATTTCCTTAGCTTGTGTGTTAATCCCTCCTACTAAATAAGACATGCAAGAAAAAGATGCTCGCAGAGAGATAAAAGGAACACATTTTTAGTAGAATAAGAAGTAGTTTTCCTCTTAAGCATCATCTAAAGTCAGTTTTCTTCTGACGGTGGTTCACCTGTCAGTCTGCTTCAACACCTCTGTTGTCTACGGATGCTCAGATATATATATTTTAAAGTAAAAGCAGGTGTGCAGGGTTCTAATTATCGGCACTGTTTGAATTGTTTAAAAAAGCAAAACAGTATGTGAAATGTGCCTGCATGTTTCCCTGTAAACAAATTGTTTGAATAATCTAAGCATTAATGAGAACTTTATTCTGTACTTACAAAGCTCAGATGTGTGTGACCCAGACAGCCATTTTTACTGGCAGCACTCACTGGTTAATTTAGTGATCATTTGTATGCACATTTATGATCGTAAAAGACCATATCTCATAATTTAATAGAAAGCAGAAAATGTTGGTGTTTTCTGGCAAAGTGAAAATGATCAAAGCCTGGCCGAAATTCTGATATTAACTCCATCTTCACAAACCTTCAGAAAACCCACTTTCCCATAGTCTACCTGACCCAATATCAATCAAACCTAAGTTACTTCTATTTTTGTCATGTCATTTCTACTGAGATAAATCCACTCAATTTCAGTTTGATTGATATTATCTCAAGCAAATGCAAAAAAATATGTTTTCTGAAAATCTACAAAAATGGAGTTATCTGTTTTTGCAAATTAACTCATCATATGTACATATAGTATGTTAGAGTTTTATTGAAAAGAAAAAATTGTACATTAACTTCCTCGCAATGAATTTCACAAACAGGCTATCTTGAAGAAAAAACTTGACTCCGCACCACCGTCTGCTCTGCTACATGTGCTGCAGACAGTGCTAACGATATTGTAACACTGGAGTCTGAGCTGCTGCACAAGCTGATGATGAAACTATTTGGAAATTACCTAAGACATCTACTTCTGTATTATGTTCTGAAAAGAAGCTTGCGTGCGAAAAGTTCCAGGACTGGTGTCACAACAGATATATTTCAAACCCCAAATACGAGTTTTCCCCTTTAGACCATCAACCAGCAGGTCTACAAAGAGATCCTGGGGCGTTTGCTTCGTTCAGTGCGCAAGAAGAGGTGAGAGTTGTGGCAGGACAAGTCGTGGCTGCTTCACCATGACAACGTGCCTGCTCACAATGCCCTGAGCATCCGACAGTTCCTGGCTGACAAGAACATCGCCGTGCTGGAGCAACATCCCTATTCACCCTAACTGGCTCCGTGGGATTTTTTCCTCTTCCCCAAGCTCAAGGGAACCCACTTTGAAGATGTGGACGACATCAAGATGGCTGTGATGACGGAGTTGCGGTGATCCCGGAAGAATCCTTGCAGGAGTCCATGGCGGCGTGGCAGAGAAGACTGGAAAAGTGTGCTAGACTCCACGGGGATTACTTTGAAGGGGAAAACTTGTAGTCTGGATTTGAAATATATCTTTTGTGACACCAGTCCTGAAACTTTTCTGACACACCTCGTATAGCCGTATATAAGACAACATATTTGCCAATACCAATATATCGGTGACAGGCCAAAATCAGCGGATACTTTCAAGAAACTAGAAATTACAAAAAACTGCTAATACGTCAAGACATGGTTTCGTCCACATGCACAGTAATTTTCAGTGTCACATGTGACTCTATAGAAATGACACCAATGAAAATATGTTTAACTCTTCTCTTCCTGACTACATTTCCTACTATAGAGGTTAAAAGCAGAAGCGACGGAAAGAAAATACATTTCTGTTAAATAATCGAAGTTGTTTATGGTTCCTTTGATTTTCAGACTTGATCTTAGCTATGACAACTTGAAATTAAAAAAAGTGAACTGGGGAGCACAATGACAGGGTTTGGTTTGTGCTGTTATAAAATAGCACGATGAGCTGCTGATCAATGGATTTTCCCAGCACACGAAACAGGGATGTTCTGACAGGAATGTTCCTCTGTCTTCTACTCAGTCTCACATCCACCTTCAACTGTTCACATTTCTAACTGTTTCTGCAGTTTCGCCACATAAATCCAGCTCATATCTACCTCTTCATATATGAAACTCCTCCAAACACACCTACACACATCTCCTCCTTTCATCTGCTCTGTTCAGTATGCAAGGGTCCTGCTGTAACTAATCAGCCAAGTAATGGCCCATGTAAGAAGCAGTAGAGCACTGAAGACTGATGGGAAGAGGAGCGATGAAGGTGGAGAAGATAGAACAACCATCTCTGATCTCATCTCAGTAAAAAGAGATCAATGAGACACCTAGTGAAAGTGTCTCTATATGCGCAGCTGTGACGAGGTGCACGAGAAGAAGTCAATGAAAGAAATGATGTGTGAAAAGCAGGAAAGATGCGGCGGAAGTGATTGCGTTCGGGCTGGTGCTGAAATGTACGGGGAGTGGATTATGAGTCGACACCTCCACCTGAGCATCATACACATTAAGGTCCATTTCTCAGATGGAATATTTACCAAATGGGCCTTGGCAGGGTTCATTTCTCTGACTAGTCTCTTATGCTCCAAACATCTTGCACTCAGACAAAAGTGAACATTGTTGCCATCTCTCTGTTTGCTTCAAATCATGTTTCATTTCCACTTACACTCTCTTTTATCTGTGTCTGTTGTCCATATTTAGTAGTTATGTTTAGTTCTGGTTTACGTGTGATGCATGTTTTTGGAATTAAAAAAACCAAAACCTTTTAAATAATCACCTGAGACCTGCAACAGCAAGTCAAAGAATGTGCATGTTTGTGTATTCATTGCACTTAGCTGCAACTGTGACGCGTAATCATTTCAAAGCAAAGCGGAACAAAAGTAGCACATGCAACTTCAGAACATGAATTTACCAGCACCATGGCTGATTTTATGCATGAAAATATATGCAAATAAATTCTTTGAGAGAAATACATATTCATGCAGAGGATACAAAACCCAACTCATGAATTTAGCAATAGAAGAAATATCCAAAATGGAGTTATGGGTGTTGTTTCTTTGATGAAATTATGAATAAAAGACAGTAAAAATTTTGATCCCTTTGAGAGTTCACTGTCAGACTGTGAGATGAACCCTCCATAAAGACAATAAAATGACCACAGAAGCTGTACCGGGGATTTATATGGAGCTTACTGGTGCAACACTCTGCTGTGTAGTTTAATGGCCCCAAGTTTTGTATTACAAGGACACACTTAGTCAGCTTTATCCTACATCTGAGAGGCTGCTGCAGCGATTGTACACAACAGATGCAGGAAAACTGCAGCTCATGTGTGTCACCTTGTTTGTGTGGTTGGTCATGTTGGTAATATCTTAAAGGGAGAACTTATAGAAAACATACACAACACAAGTCATATTTATTGTATCTGTATGTATGTATCCATTTTAAAATCCTCCTCCTCACCCACAAAGCCCTCCATAACAAGGCCCCCTCCTACCTCATGAGCCTGCTCCACCACTACACCCCCTCTTGTAACCTCCGATCTTCTGATGCCCACCTCCTCTCCATATCATCTGACACCAAGCACCGAACCTGGGGGAACAGAGCTTTCTCTGTCGCCACCCCCACCCTCTGGAACTCCTTACCACCAAACATCCGTAACTACTCGAACCTGTCCACCTTCAAATCACTCACCAAAACTCGCCTCTACAAAAATGCTTTTAATGTGTGATTGTTTTTGAATGCACTCAATGCCTTTTGCTTTCTGCTGTTATGTTTTTGCATGTTGTTTGTATTTCTTGTTGTATTTATTCACTGTGCAGCATGGTTGAGCGTTCGGAAAAGAGCTTCATAAATAAAATTTTAAAAAATGTATTATTTACATACACACTGGTGTCCTTGAGTGTGTTTCTTAAGTAAACCAACCACCATCCTGAGCTACATCTAGCGGTGGAGGCATATGTTGGATATAAATGGTAAATGAACAGCACTTATGTTGTTATTTTCAATCTGAGCTGGATAAATTGCTGTACAATTTGCCTCCCTGTCACATGATAATGATGGCGGAGCTGCAATACAAGTCACAGGCCTGGTAATCAGCGGCAATGACCTCTCTATTGATCCATGCTCAGGTTGATTGCAATAGATGAACTAGTGATTTCAAATATCAGTAGTATTGGCAATATATAAATATGTTAGCAAAATGATGACAAAAGATTTACCTAGGGAAAGCAGTGACCTAAATACACCCAGTGCAATTTATCTCCTGTACCAGCACCATGAAGATGTTTTTAGGAGTAGATCCCTTTCTTATTAGTCTTCTGCAATATCATGACACATATTCCACAGTTTCCTTCTGTTCCAGCTATCTACTTTAGGCTGTAATACACCACTTGCAATGAGTGGAAAGAAGAAGCCTGCAAGCCACTTAACAATGGATTTAAACAATACAGGATATTTTACTTCAGCATTGCAAATGTTTTTAGAGGAAGAAACTGCATTTGATGCATTGGTTAAACCTCAACAATGCATTCTGGAAATGAAATATGAGTGTAAGGCATAAAAAAAGCTGTCTCCCAAGTGACTGCTCTTTTGCTTTTACCATAAACCTGTTGAGTTGGTGGAATGCTATCTGTAAAAAATTGCACATTTTTCAAGAAATCAGCAGATGATCAACTTTCCAACAGTCCTTGAACTACCCATGAAAGTTAACCAAATCTAAGCTTAAAATCATGATGTTTCAACAAAATCACTTAATTCTCCATGTCTGGTTTTAAATTTTGCCCCCCAAAATAATCCATTGTATCTAAACAGATTCTGTAAAAAAAAAAAAAAAAAAAAAAAAGAGAGCGAAAAGAAGAATTCTGCATTTCTCTGTGCAACTGTGAAGCCTCAGCTGCCACCAACTAAGGGATTTTTTAGCTGACCTGGGCTGAACTGCAGGCTGTATTGACACAGATCAGATAGGACACAAGTATGGAAACAAATGAAAAATGCAAGTAGTAAAATATCCACAAGATGTGGAGCCACTGTTTTTCCCTCCAGTATTTTTAAGACACTTGTGGGAATTTGAAAAAAATATTATACATGTTGATTCAAGGTCTTACACATTTTTGTGAAATAATTAATCAAAAAAAAAAAAATCAACTTGTTTTTTTTCCTCATTTTTAGAACACATGGCATTATGTGTTATACTGCATGAAATACAGTTCTTCTCTCTACTTCTAGTCATGATTGTGTTGTTTCTATAGAACCGCAGGACTTCATATTGCAATAAGTAAAAATGTGCCAAAAAATGGCAAAAACTGTAAGGCAAGATATGCCAAACTGTTGGTACATTCTAAGCCAAGCAACATCACTATGCCTATGGCACTCTATGTTACTGCTGGAACCTACCGTTGAACTGGGTGTATTGGTACCATATCCTGAGGAGGGCAGCGAGGCCAGAGACCATCTCCGACCATCAGCCCTGAGAAAAGAAATGAAAAACCGAGGAGAGAAAAGGCAAAACACAGGTTAGACACTTAAAGAATGAAAACCACTTTTCTCTTTTACTTTTCATAGCCAAACACAGAGGTAACGATTATCAGTTACACTACAGTAACTCTACCACCTTCATTTTCTTTGAATCTACCCAATTACACTTTTGCTTCTTTTATTTCTCTCTTTCCCGAGGCCTCCTCCAGCCATCCCCACGTCTGACACTTCCTCTGAGTGAGCGATGAGGGGCAATGTTCAGGCGAAATCCTGGCACCTCGCCTGATTTATCTCAGCCTGCCGTCACGCCTCCGTCACACGGTCACGGTGGGAGCAGCCCGGGACAAAGACTGGCGAATGGTATGCAGTTTCATTTTGTGAATGAGTGGGTGCATCCCAGATTTGCTGCGTGTTAGTGGGTTTAAAAATAATCCCAACAATTTCACTCGACGACTTTGCAATGTTCTTGTGGTGATGCATGTGTGACTTATGGTGTGAAATAAAGGAGGGATGCCAACCTTCGAGAAGATGCGAAAGAGAAGTGGGCAGGTCCGCTTGGTGAGAAGTTGCGCGGGCTGTCCAATGGACTGCTTCCTGATAAAACACATATGGCGAGAGGAGAAAACGGAATAGACACTGGGGATTAATGGGCAGGAAACCAAACCAAAATTAATTTTGTTTTAGGTAAGTATAATTTGAAAGTTGGCCCCAATTTATTTAGTTACCCTCATTTTGAAGGAAATATTGCATTCTTAGCTGTCAACATTCAGGATCATTTGAGATCAGGCACATACATTTTGATCTTTGTACATTAAGTCACCAACAGAACTCATGCAAACAACTGTGTTTATTTAATGTAACACCTACTGTCAATACACCTACAGAAAATGTGCATTTCTGCCCTGATCCATCTGCTTGCAGCTTTATGCAGCAGTGTTGTGATGAGCATTTTGTCTGTATGTGGGAAGTACATGCAGTTGTCCGTCCATGCAAAACTAACGACACTCTGTCCTGAGGAACTTTTGTTTCACAGTGGTGGCAGAACTTTGACAACCAATGCACCAACAGATGCAAGGAAGATGCAGAAAGCAAGCTAGCAAACATGGATGCAAAAGAGGAGATGGTAACTTAGAAAACATAATTTAAAATGTACATTTTTTTATGGGGCCTAAAGGGTACAAAGTCTTCAACGATTATATTGTAGTTTTACATTAACGCTGCATGGATTCCGGTAGCTCAGATGCTGAACGTGTTTATTTATTGTAATGGGAAGGATCTGGAGCAAAGTTATTCCTGAGATGATTTATTATTGTCAACCTTTGTCTTTGCGCTGTGAAATGGTAGTTTGTGGAATTTCTTCACTGCAATTGTAACCTGTAAGTCTGTTTTTGAGGAAGTGGTTTTGGATTTTGGATTTAAGCATTCACATTCTCGAATTTTTTGATCCATTTATGATTCTAACTTTCTGCATGTTATTCAAATTTGTCATTTGGTGGAATGGTGTTTTGTAATTTATGCCTTTCTATATTATGATAGTATAGTTACTATGTGGGCTACTACTTATTTAAGATGTCTTCTCTTTGAACCAAACCATTTGCCTGATGAAGGTCTAACCACAGAACATTGTGACCAAATATATTTTTGCAAGTTGGACAGTGTGCAGGAGTCTTTTTAAAAAAAAAACTTTCGGAAATGCTCGCCCCCCTCCTACGCACCTGTCTTATGAAATAAATGTGTTCCTTTGCCTGAGGGGTACCGACAGAGAGTTTTGGTGAGAAAAAACTGAATGCAAATTTCATTGTGTTTGTTGACAAAAAAGTTCTACACCTTTCATGATCCTAATTTTTTTTGTTAATTTTACTAATTTCCAACAAATAATGCGCTTTTTTTGGTCATTGTTTGCCCTTTATAGCTGATAGTTTCGAGAAGTACGTAACAAGGTGAAAATGGGGCCAATATGAAGTATAACAAAGGCGGTTGTAATCAAATCAGGGCTGTTGTAGAAATGATGGATGTGCCACCTCACCAAGATTTTAGGAAGGTTTTAAGGAAGCAAATGCAAGTAGTTTTACTTTGGTTCTATATTACCATGCACTCAAAGGTTTTTGCACATCAATCTTGGCAAGAATACAGAGTCAGACACAGTTTACAGCAAAGTCTATTGCTGTCGGATGAGACTGATGAAAGTATGTGATTACAGAATTCATCAAGAAGTAAAATGTTAAGAGGTTATTTGCCATTTGCTTGAACAACCGTGAAGAGTAGATATTTGTCAGTTTGTGGGGTAAACTTCTGGAACAGCCTGGATGATGATGTCAGAATGAGAACAAGTATAAAAAACTATACAACAGAGGACTGCTTGAAAAATTCAGAGTAAAAGGTGTTGGTCTGTAGGTATGTAGAGGTCTATATACCTATAGAGGTATATAAGTGTAAGGAAACAGTGAGATGTGAGATGTATGGACGTGTAACAGGTAGGATTCGATAAGTTAACTTCATTCTACTCTTTTTTAAACATTCTTTTAAGGTTCTGTTGTCTTCATTATTTATTTTCTCCTTTTCTTTCCCCCTATATGATACAGTGGCATGTCTTATATGAAGTCAAAAACCATGCGCATACAACACTGACCTATGTGTCCAGGCAGTGGGGAGTGCGGCCGTGGCAGCGTGGGCGACGTACTGGTCAGGATGAGGCTTTTCCGGTTGCTGGTTCTGCAACTATAACAGAGTTGAGAACAAACAGTGCTTTAGTATTTGCCTTCAATGTATTATTCTATAACAGCTGATGGATGATAGCTGGCACAGAGAACCCCCGAGTTAATGATTATACCTTCTGTGTTTGATCGTGTGCTTACTTGTCATCCTGAGTAAATGTACAGCCTGTTGTATAGTGCGTGTGGGGGTGAGTGTGCATGCTTTTTTTTAAAATCTCGACTACAGTATGTGTCCGTGTGCGTGTGCTGGGACATAATACAGTACTTTATTGACATCTGCCATACACAGGGGAGAGCGACAAAGCAACAAAGATTTTTAATTTCCTCAAGGTCCAGCCTCATGACGGCTGCTGCCATGGAATATAATGGCAGGAGTGATGGAGAGAAGACGGAGGGGAAGAAAAAGCATTGGAGAGGACAGATATAGACCATGACCAAGAGCTGAAATTATTGAACCATAAGGACTTCACACGCTGCTGCTGCTGCTGTTGCCACCGCTGGATGTGTCGCTGAACACGCATGCAGAGATGCACAAGGGTGATAGTCTTACATAACAGCTCATAAAGTGGGAAGTGGATTTTTTAGGTGTTGTTTTCATGTGTGGATTGGGTTTGCTCACAGGTCTTTTATGTCTGTGTGTGTGCTTCTTCACCGGAGTGCCTGTCAGAGAGGATTTTGCAGAGCAGAACCGCATCTGACAAACAATACAAGTTTGCTTCTCATTGCATCAGCCGCCATGCTGCTCTACATCTGCACAGGAAATCGTAGCACACAGAAATAAAAACATATGGTCACCCCGACACATATTCGTTATTTAATATATCTCAGATAGAAGTCTATATCTATAATCTATACCCCCGTCTTGCAGCACTCCCACATCCTCCCTGCCTCCCTTATCTCTCCCTGTTTTTGATGTGCGTCTTCAGCAGTTGTTTCTAGGACTCGGAGACATCAAACCCCTGGCAGGATTTTATCGGTGGCAGTGTGTCTCTGTGGGCGCCAGCTGAGGGGAGAGCTTGTACTCAACCTTGTAGAACAGAGGAGGAGCATATTGAAATATTTAAGGGAAATGCATTAGCTTTGGACAGGGGGCTGGAAGTGGCTTAACACCATACTTTGCTTCTGCTCTCATAAAATGAGAACAGAGGAGAGGAGCAGGGGGAAGGGCGAGGGAGGAGGGATGGAAAAAAAAAAAGACAAAAGCAAAGGGACTTGAGTGCACACAGTCATGTCCTTTGTGTCATCCTCTTACTTTTTTTTCTTCCGTAGTTATGCTCTTGAACCTTCCTTCAAATTGACAGTCATTTCACTCACTCCTTAACCTGCAGTCTCGAAAAAAATCCACATTTCATTACTGCTCTTGCTCAATCAAAAGCTGATTTACTTGAGCATACGCTACTCAAGTTTCACTCCAGAACATATTCTGAGCTTTTGATTCATGATTCATCGCTTCGACAGCAGCCATGCTCCACCAGCGAATCGTCAAACGGCAGTGATTCACTTTTCAGGTGGAGTGTCGCACCGCATATTACACGGAAAGAGCTTTAATCCTGCCTGCCTTGTTTCTGCGACTTTCCCCCATATTCTCAATTATTCACAATCGCAACAAATGCCTTCACCATCTTTTGATAACTCATCACTCATCCTACATTTCCTCCATTTATCCCCGTATCCTGCTATACTCTCATCCTGCTTTCTGCTTCTCCCAAATTAACTCTCTGAATGATAAATAATTGAAATGTGTGATGTCAAGAAAACTCATTCTTCCCCTCTAACTCCCCTTTAAAGCGTTATACAGTCGACTAGACTATTAAAGACAGAAACAGAATGAAAACCCACCAGGGCAAAGCAATCTAATCTTCCCACAAAGCCAGAAGTCTCTTTGCTTTACAACATTGTTATCTTAAATGAATGCTGCAAAAGGGCATCTTGCCCAAAGCATTTGTACTGTAAAAAAGGTTAAATAGGAGCTCTGCTCTTTATTCCATACTCCAGCTGCCAGTCACACCAGTAAAGGTCACACTAAGAGCTCTGCTACTTGATTTCTGCTAAAACAACGAGCACCACATATAACAGACACAGCAGGGAGGAGAGAAGAACCCTCTGTCTGCTGGTGGTCTTATATTACAGCTGCTGTACTCCAGGGATGGAAATTTTGTACAGATTTGTATTCACTGTCTTTCTTGTTTTGAACTTCTGCTTTGCTTAGTGATTTACTGCAGAATTCCCTAAAACAGGCATGAAGACATATTTTACACCTGAGTTTTGTAAACTCAGGTGCAAGAACCAGCATTAAAAAGTGAGAATTTAACCATCTACTCAACATAGCGGTTGGTAGTTTCATTGCATGCTGGTTTATTTTGGTTATTTCCATCAGACAGACAAGAAAGAAAAAGCAAAATAAAGCATTGGTCCACTAAGGGCCTCGTTGAAGAGTCTCTAAACTCGAGGGGAGCCCTGTCTAACATGTCCTACTATGATCTGCTATAGTTCAACTACATTGAAAACATGTCTTTCTCAGTATTTCTCTACATGTAACACATCCTGATGGGATGTAGAGTATCATGCTGTACATCTATATAAAAGAATTCCGTTTAAGTTATCACCTGCCTGCACTATCTGCTGGACGTCTCAACAGATTGTATGATTTGATGATGAACACTGTTTAAGTTCAAGAGGAAAAGTGCTGAAACAAGCAAAATTCATCAGTACATTAATAACCAAGTAATCATTTAGGTAACATGTTAATGCCTAAAAATTGTATTGTCTTGTGTAAGAATTTATTGCTTTTATCGTCTATGCGCATTAGGCACAAAACATCTTAGTGTACTGAACTGTTGGTGGGACAAAACAATCAATCTGGAGATGTCAACTTGAGTTTCATATTTCACAAACTAAATGATTAATCAATTAACCTTCTGAACCCCAAAACCCAAGGCAGTTTTGAAAAGCATGTTATTTTTTTAAAGAAAGCAAAGTTGCACCATTAATCACCGTCAGAAACTGTAAAAACACAAAGAATTGTTGGACTTTCAGCATTTCGATGGTCCTTGAACTCTTAATCTGAGATGTGCCATTTGTGGAGCAAAATTATGCAAATGTAAGCCTAAAATCATGATATTTAATTAAAATTGCTTTATTCTACATGTCAATTGAAAACTATAATCAGAAATAAGCTACTTGCTCTTACCACTCTATAAAAAACAAAATGTCTTGTGCTCCTCAATCCAACTTCAATTCCAAAGACATACCAGAAAAATTCAGGGATTTTTTATTTTTTCTGAACTGCCGGTTGGATTTACAATGAGCAGAAAGGAAACGAGTATAAAAACAAATTAAAACTGCAAGTAGTAAAAAATCCATAGTATGCAGTGTCATATAAGTATTGATACCACCTGTGGGCACTTCGAAAAAAATCAATTTTTGTGAATTTAAAAAACCCCCAAAGATGTTCACCTTTAGTTTTTTCTTTTTTTCTAAAATGATTTATGGCATTAGAACAGTTTTGTACTGCACAAGAGACATTTCTGAGTTCTGTCTACTTATAGCAATGCTTATGCTGTTCCCATAGAGGAGCAGATGCAGTGAAAAAAAATGAGCCCACAGTAAACAAATATGCAACAGGAGCAAAACATTCTCTGGAAATTGCAATTCCAAGGGCAAGCAGAGGAAATAATTAGTACAATAACCAAAAATGAAAATAACTTTTGGAGCCCCAACTACTGTTTGTTGTATTGTGAGGAACAAAGCTACACAGGACAGGGCATCTACTGTTTCTTACAATACGACAAAAATAATACCAGTTATTTCAGTATGACATTTACTTCATTATCTGCGAGACTAAAACTGTCAGATTTCAACAGTGTTTCCTCTCACTGACATTTTTAGCAAAGGACAGCCAAGGTAAGTTAGAAAGCTTTTAAAGGGCCACCGTGTGGGATTTATTTGCATCTAGTGGTGAGGTTGCAGATCGCCAGATTGCAAGGTGAACCTACAGTGACTGTCAAAAATGTAAAAAATATGATAAGACCTCTATAGAGCCAGTCAGTGTTTGGTCATCCGTTCTGGGTTATTGCAGGAGATATGAAGGTGCAACATGACAGAAGAGGTCACGGACATGGAAGAGGTCTTGCTTTATCTTTAGATAAAACACGCTCATTCTCAGGCAACAAAAATACAATAAAAAATTCTTATTTTCAGATAATTATACACTAATGAAACCATAAATGTGTATATTGTATTTTGTTTCTTCCAGTAGAACCCTCTACATCCTACACACTGGTCCTCTTTGAACAGTTTATATTAATCTCTCCCATGCAATCATATTCTCTGTTTTGCCCTTAAATACCTTCTTGATAATTAGCAGCCATCAGTAAATGAAGATTACAGTAGCTATAGGTGGTTGTGAGGGATTTTCACTTACATGCTGCAGATTCACTGGACTGAGGAAGCAAAAGGAGACAAGAGAGGCGGGAACACTGGAGGTGGGAAGATGTGTGAGTAAATGTGACTTTAAATCACCCTGTCACGGTTATGGTCGAGCAGCCTGGGCTCAGCTTTCCTCTAACTGGTTAGAAAAGTGTGTCTGTGTGTGTGTGTAGGATAAAGATAGAAACAGCTAATATGCTGCATGTTTTAATCTTTTAATCATAAATCTAAAGCTGCCTCTAGTTTAGTGGTCAAATGCTAACACATTGTCAGTTTACAGCCAACAATCCTGCACTATATCATCCACCGCCTCCTCTGTTTTCAGGCAAACGATGATATCTGGACTTATTCAGCTGTCCATTTATGCATAAATGAATTTTCAATCCCTGCCCCCCACAAAGCTTTAGCCAAAACAAGACACTTTCTTTTAAAATATTCAAACCCTTTCGAATCTAATTAGGTTAATCAAGAACAAATTCTCTCTATCCATAATGAATTGACCGAGGAGGGAAGATGAAGGAGGAAGAGCAGCGAGAGGCGAGGCGAGGAGAGACGTGAAGCGGAATGTACACTGTT